AACAGCGTTCATAGTTCATACTTAGTAGAATTTTCAATTAAGAAAGAATTTCAAAGTTCCAAAGCCTTGATTGTACATCTTCACATGTGTTCTTTGGTTTATCAAGTCACTTTTTGTTAAGGGAAATTTTTTTCCTTCGTACAGGTGAGTGAAGAACCACTTACCGTCAAAGTCGATCATCTTAAGGTACATTTATGCTTCTATACTTTTCCTCTTATAATATGAGACTACTGTTTGATTTTCCTTTTTCTTTTTGAAACTCTGAAGTCAGGAACCTTTTCTTACTCTCTGTGCAGGATAATCCCTTTGACATGGACGATGATGTCATCAAGGCAACATCTTTTGAAGTTATTTCAACTCTTAGGGATGTACTAAAGACAAGTTCGCTATGGAGAGATCACGTTCAAACATATACCCAGGCATGTTCTCTTCATAATTTTCACCTGTGCTGGTAAAAAGGTCTCAGGGTACAAGTATCTTAGTAGATGTCTTTCAACTTGTATAGCATATAGGTGATTTCACTTATCCACGATTAGCCGATTTTGGAGCGGCTATATGTGGTGCAAATAGGCATCAAGCTCAAGAAGTTCTTGAAGAACTGGATGTAAGTAGCTTCATTATTGTTGTAATTGTATGATTTTCCATTCTTGGTCAATCTCTCACTCTGTTTTTATTGACACAGGTTCACAAACGTCTCCGGTTGACGCTGGAATTGATGAAAAAAGAAATGGAAATTAGCAAGATTCAGGTACTTCATTCCCTTATTCATGTGGCTTTCCCACTAAGGGACTACTTATCTGCTAACTGTTTGAATGAGATAAGATTCTTATCTTCTGCGCCGTTTATAGGAATCCATAGCAAAAGCAATTGAAGAAAAAATTAGCGGTGAGCAACGTCGGTACTTGCTAAATGAGCAGCTCAAGGCTATAAAGAAGGTATTACTCAGCCCGCCTCACAAAATATGCTCGCTATTTCATCCACATACCATGTCTGTGTAGTATATACGTATTTGGTTTTATTCATTTAAGTGATCCAATGCAGGAGCTTGGTGTGGAGACAGATGACAAATCTGCACTTTCTGGTCAGTACTAACTTAAAATATCTTCAATTATATGTAGTCAGTTGAGAAATTTATAATTTCACTGCCTCATGGATCTCAATGCATTCATGGGATGCCAGTGTCTTTGGTATGAGTTTGGAGTGCAGTGCACTATTAATTGTAAGACAACTGCAACTTATAGTCTGTTCTTTACTGCAGCAAAGTTTAAGGAAAGGATTGAGCCCAACAAGGAAAAAATTCCAGCACATGTATTACAAGTCATAGAAGAGGAGCTTACAAAGCTGCAGCTGTTAGAGGCGAGTTCAAGCGAATTTAACGTGACGCGTAACTACCTTGATTGGTTGACCATATTGCCTTGGGGAAATTACAGGTTTTCTACCTGATATATTAATTATATATTTTTTCTGTTTAAGTAAAGCAGTAAGTCTTTTGGTATGAGAGACTGATAAAGAGACAGGATGAGCTATCATCTCATGGCACCATTTGTAATTGCTTTGTGTTCACTGATTTGAGGAATCTATTTTGTTAAATTTGCAGTGATGAAAATTTTGATGTTGTGGGGGCACAAAAAATTCTTGACGAGGATCACTATGGCTTATCTGACGTAAAGGAAAGAATACTGGAATTTATTGCGGTGGGAAGACTTAGAGGCACTTCGCAAGGTTTGATACTTACCCAGTAATTGTTGCCCTTTTCTGATTTGATCTTGTTGAAGAAAACCTTGTCCCCGCTGCTTAAATTTGAGTAAATGTGTCACCAGGGAAAATCATATGCCTCTCGGGCCCTCCTGGAGTAGGCAAAACTAGTATTGGTCGTTCTATTGCACGTGCTCTTAATCGCAAATTTTTCCGGTTCTCTGTTGGAGGGTTAGGAGATGTCGCTGAGATCAAGGTATACCACCTTTTTTTTGGTTTACTTGCAAATATTAGTCAAACATGTGCGACTGACAATAAACTATTCTTGTAATAACATGTTTAGGGGCATCGTCGAACATATGTTGGCGCCATGCCAGGAAAGATGGTGCAGTGTCTAAAGAGTGTGGGGACAGCAAATCCTCTTGTTCTAATCGATGAGATTGATAAGGTGAGATCTTGTTAGTTTTGGGACTAGCTTCTTGAACTTGGTAGTAATCATATGGTAGCTTCTTTTATTCATCAATACAATAATGTTCAATAACCAAAGACAAATTTCTCTGCAATAAATTTGATTTATTGTTCCTCTGCAGCTCGGGAGAGGCCATGCTGGTGACCCAGCCAGTGCTTTGTTGGAGCTTCTGGATCCAGAGCAAAACGCAAATTTTCTGGACCACTATCTCGATGTTACTATTGATCTATCAAAGGTTATTAAATGTGGTCAAGGACCAAATTTCGTATTTCTTATCTTCGTGATGTTCTGTCCACCAGTTGATGGATATGAATACCATTTTGTCTCATGTAATTCTACGCTGTTTGAATTTAATTGCTGATCCATTCCCCTACAGGTTTTATTTGTGTGCACAGCAAATGTGATAGACATGATTCCAAATCCTCTGCTAGACAGAATGGAGGTGATTTCTATTGCGGGGTATATCACTGACGAGAAAGTTCATATCGCAAGAGACTATTTGGAAAAAACTGCACGTGGAGATTGTGGTGTCAAGCCTGAACAGGTCTCACTTTCATCCTATTCTTCAATTGTCTCTTCTTTTAACCCCGGGGAAATTAAAAAGAAGTAATTGTCAATATATTCCTAACATTTGCTCAATTTGTTCGTACTATATGCAGGTTGAGGTGAGTGATGCAGCTCTTCTTTCCTTGATAGAAAATTACTGCAGAGAAGCAGGTGTTAGGAATCTCCAGAAACAGATCGAGAAGATTTACCGTAAGGTATGTTTCGCAACAAGACTCCGAATTGTTTTCTCAAGCCCTCTAAACCTAATACCATTTACTTTTCTTTTTTAGATTGCACTTAAATTAGTGCGTGAAGGAGCAGTTGCCGAAGAGCCTGCAGTTGCAATTGACCCCGAAGAAGCTGAAATTGTGGCCGATGTTGGCGAATCCCCAGAGAATCATACTGTCGAAGAAAACCCTGTGTCCTCTGCTGAAGAACCAAAGGAAGCGGCCCAAACCGAGAAGATAGCTATTGAAAAGGTTATGATTGATGAGTCAAACCTTGCGGATTATGTAGGAAAACCGGTATTCCACGAAGAGAAGCTCTATGAGCAGACACCGGTAGGAGTTGTGATGGGTCTAGCTTGGACATCAATGGGTGGTTCAACATTGTACATAGAGACGACTGTTGTGGAGGAAGGGGAAGGTAAAGGTGGCCTGAATATAACGGGTCAGCTCGGTGATGTGATGAAAGAAAGTGCACAAATTGCTCACACAGTCGCCAGGAAAATCATGCTAGAGAAAGAACCAGAGAATCAGTTCTTTGCAAACTCCAAGCTTCATCTCCATGTTCCTGCAGGAGCCACACCCAAGGATGGTCCAAGTGCAGGCTGCACCATGATCACATCTTTACTATCACTTGCCACGAAGAAACCCGTTAGGAAAGATCTTGCAATGACCGGAGAAGTCACACTAACCGGAAGAATTCTTCCTATTGGTGGGGTAAGTTAGCAAGTCCGGACTTCTCTCACTCTATTATAGCTTTTCTTTTTTTTGGACATTGTACAGAATTTTGCTGCAAGTTTCTTACACAAAAATGTTACAGGTGAAGGAGAAAACTATAGCGGCGAGGCGGAGTCAGATTAAAACAATAATATTTCCGGAGGCAAACCGGAGAGACTTTGATGAGCTGGCGGAGAATGTGAAAGAAGGGCTTGATGTTCACTTTGTGGATGACTATGGAAAGATCTTCGAGCTTGCTTTTGGCTATGACAAACAAGAAGACTGAGAGTACAGAGAAGCCACTTTGACATTTGTCATCTGTTGTTGTCTCCATTTAAATTTTAAACAGTACCACCATTCTTGATTCTCTTTTGTTTTTTTTTTCTTTCTTCAAGAAGAAAGTTATTGTGTAACTTTTTCTTTCTTTTTATGGTTAGGGTAATTTATTGGTGGTTGGATTTTATTATTTTGGTATATAACCAAAGCCAAATTATAAGACATCAAAATAAAGTTGTTTCTCATTTTGTGTTTGTAATTTCATCAACATATTAGCGTATTAGTTTCACTGTTGCTAAATTCGCGCACACTTCATCAGAACGAATGAAGGAAAATGATCATATTATTTGCATTTTCAATAGAAGTAGAAACCATAAAAGAAGGAATGCTCGTGAATTACACTGTGAGAAAAATGCTCCTCGATATTGGCTACTTTCACTTCATCTCAATTCTCATGTCAGAGAAATTGTTAGAAGAAGCTTCTAAAAAGACACACCAGAAGCAGCTAGAATGCCTAGACAAGATCAGGCTCAACTAAAGTAGAAAATTCAAACTAGCCCTTCCCTTTGCCTCAATGTTCTTCTTTGAGTACCTGAGACAAGATCATTAACTAAATCATCAACCAATGTAGAGACTATCTCTCCCTCAATGTCAATGCCTTCTTCATATGTCTCTCTCTCGAAATCAAGCCACCTCCCTTCGAAACTGCTCATTTCTTTGTCAACAAGCTCATCCATCATCATCTCTCTCATCTTCTTCAACCCATGAATCTCTCTGTTCAGTTCTTCTGCTAACCAATCTCTCTGTTCAAACAAAAACCCGCCTTTACCCAATAGCCCTCTGCAGCTACCCATAAACATTTTCTCGCATTTGAGCGCTAAGCACTTATTGACAAAATCAAACAGTGTCTTCCTCTTGATTTTGGCTGCTGTTGCTTCTCCTCGGCCTTCCATTTCATCAAAGAGGCTCGCAGGTAATACGTCAGTGGCCATCCCCAGAGCAAATTCTTTCACCATCAGTTGGTCAGACCCGAGGATCTCGGATATGTACTCAAGCTCCCAGTCGAGCCTTTCTTCGGCTTCTGAGTAACTCAGTGTTATTACAGATTCTGAGAGCTCGGACTCGTCTTGTGCTTGGTGCGACTCATTTAATGAAACCCAGGTGAGTTTTTGATCTGATGAGGACTGTATTGTCCCTGTAAAGCCCAAAGCGTTAGACAGGATAAAAGTAGATGCAAATCAAGCTTCTGTTTAAGCCATTAGATCTACGCCTTGTTCCTATGGAGTGCAAACAATGTTTTGGCATATTACATGTATCTTAAGGATTCAAGTTTTGCAGGATGAATGTTGACTTTTGGTGGAGTATTCATAAATTAAAATCGTGGGGAGAAAGAAAAAAAAAAAAATTTCTTGTGAGGTATTAAGAAAACGAACCATATTCTGCGGTCTGTCTGCAATCTGAGAAACCCTTACTGCAGGAGCTTCTGAGATCATCTGCTTCTGTCACAGTGCTAATGCTGCTAACTTCGTGCTCTTCTGCTTGTATCTTCATTTTCAGAAGAAATTACACAAAACATAATTAGTTAGAAAGCCTTAAATAATGTAATATATTTACATGTAGAAACAGTGCCAAGGTACTAAAACTACAGAATGCAAAATATGACAAATTAGAAAATTCCATATAGATTGGATACTTCATCTCTTAGCTGCATTAGGAAGGAGCTAACCTGGAATTTTTGTTTGTCATAGAATGAGGTGCAGTCAGAAACAGATTCACTCTCCGATAAAACTTTATCTAGACCGTTTTGGGTCGACTTATCATATTCTGATGAAAATGAAATCATCCCGTTCACCTCATCCTTTGGAATGGAACATGAAGACTCTTCTTGGGTCAGGCTACAGCTAGAAGACTCAAGCTTAGAAGTCAGCTCTCTGAGCTTTTGCTCCAACAGAACATTTAAGGAATCGCCGCCAAGCATATTGAAACTAACTGCAGAGTCTGTGTCTTGACCAATTCCTTGTGTGGAGGATAGGGAATCAGATGATAAACCTTTGATGGGGGATGAGAATGTGAATGAAATCACATCCATTTCCTTTTTCCGATCATCTTTGCCTTTGTTCAAGCCACCATCAATGGTGATGTTACATTTAATCAAATTCTCACTCCTTTTGGTCCGTTTATCATCGGAGATTCCAGATTTTTGCATCCCATTTGGGAGCCTTTTGCTCCGGGGAAGAGTCTTTTTGCGTGACAAAGATAAAGAAGTATTCTTTTCCGTCGAGGCCGTTGTTAAACCTGACTGCTTTGATATCGATCCACTTTCCACTGGAACCTTGTTTACAACTTTGTTATTTACTTTGCTGCCTTTTTGGTTTAAAACAGAGGTCATTGAAGGTTGGTTGTCTCTGCAGTTCTGTTTGTGGTTATTCTGCTTACTCTTTCCCAAGTTAATGGGAGCTCCTCTGAGACCATTCTGGCTTTTGGCTACGCATTTTATAGCTTCTGCCTTCTCCTTTTGGTTTGCAGAGTTTCTGGTGACACTTAATGGCGTTGTACTGGTCTTCGCTTGTGTTGATACATAAGATGGCTTCACTTTACCCTTCAAACCATCAGAACTGCTTTTTCCCATGAACTTACTAGTTGACGGTGTCATGAGTGATGTTGCGGTTCTCTTCTCGTTGTGCTTTCCACTTGGGTACTTAAGGTTGAAGGTATCATTAGAGATTTGACGGCTAGACTCTTTCTGTGCAGCTTCTAATTTCTCTCTTAAATCTTGAATCCTCATAGGAACTGATGAAGAAGAATTAGATGGTGAAAACCGTGTTCTAGCAACCATCCTAGGACTTGGTTCAATCGTTCTTGAAGCCGCTTCCATTACATAAATAGGGTTCCTGGACGGGACAAATCCAGGACTACGGATAGGAGACAGGTGTCTATTGTTGGTAACACATATCGGTTTAGCTGACCTGGGAGGAAAAGTCTCAGATTGAAACCTTTCAATAGGTTGGTTGCGCCCATTATTCGTTCTTGAATCCAAATGGTCCCAGGAAATACCATCATAGTCACTACGGAGATTTACATAACCAAGATTCTCATATGCATCCCATCTATTAGTGTTTCGTGAAGGTCTAACGAAGAACGGATCAAGATCGGGATTAAATTGAGGTTCCTGGACATTTGGTACCGGTAGAGACTCTAAACCCATAAGCCTCGCAACCACACTCGGGGCTCTTGTCCCCTGTCCATCATCACTGGTAACAGAAGATGCACAACAGCTCGAGTCACTTCTCGGGTTGTAATTTGAACTTTTTCCAATCTCATCAACCTCAATCTGTACAAAACACAACACCAAACGAAGTTGGTTCCTCTCATCTGCTAAACTAAGACAAAAGCCACTTCACATAAACAAGGGAATGGTATTGAGATAACTCACAAGAGAAACCCTCGCCTTCAAGAGGTTTTGAGCAGTCTGTTTTGTCTGCTTTGATTCTTCTGGAACAAAAACAAGAAGAAGATCGAACTTTCTTATATACACAGCATTATGAATCAAAGAATCAAAACATATTATTAACAGAAATCTTGAGAACAAGAACAGCAGTCTTTTTAACCATAACAAAATCCTCCAAACAAGTACATTGACTTAGACTAGACCCTTATAAATGCCAAAGACTTCACAAGAACTGAACTAAACATTTCTAACAATTTGTTAGCATTACAAAAGCAATACTGCAAACACACCTGAGAGTTGCGAGCTGCTGCCGGAGAAGAGCTTCTTCCGGGGTTTTCCATGCCAATCAAATAAATTTAAAAACCCTCCTCTGGATCGTTTCCTCTCAACAACCTCCATTTTAATTCATCTACAGATAACAATCACTGAATCACTTTCCTGGAATGTAACTAGCAAGATGCAGCAAAATAGAATCTTGACTCTAGAACAGCAGATAACCAAAACAAACCGGACCAAAAATTTCCATAAACCTCAATAATTGAACTAAATGGAGATTAAGACAGTTCAATTTTAATTCATATTCAGAAGAGGCCACCACAGGATAATACAGAACAGAGCTGTGAAGACAAGACAACCTCAAATAATGTAAAGCATAGGAAAAAAACTTGAACTTGGGATCAAAACATGAACCCAATTTTACCTATCGGTTACAAAGATCTCAACTTTAACTTATGAGCTCACTCCAATTTGGGTTAATTCCAGAGACCCTTGTGGAGAAATCAATCGAATTCGACACGTTTACAGCAAAATGCAGCCACGGGAACCAAAACCCAGAAATGCTGCAGACTATTCACACACAAAAATTGATTAAAAACCTAAACTTTAGCGTTACGAGAAGATCTAGCCCTAGAAGCGACCAACACAAGGGGAGGGGGTTTTGTGTTCCTCAAACAGACAACAATTGAGAATTGGAATCGATGAAAAGGTTAAAACACCAATGAATCTTAGAAGAAAGAGAGAGTCTTGAGAAATGGGTCAGATCAGAGAAAAGGTTAAATCAATCCAGGACGAAGTAAGGTTAGATTAGAATTTAAAGATTTGGGATTTGGGTAGGGAAGACAGAGACCAATAGTTGCAGCAGAGAACTTGAGAAATTAAAAAAGAAGAAAAAAACAGATACTTCACAGTGTGGATTGATGTGACGAGAGAAGAGAGGCGAAGAGTGAAAGAGGAGAGAGAGAAACAACAGAGTGTTTTGAATTTTCCCAGTCTCTCACTCCACCTTTGGAAAATATTAATAAATGTATTTCTTTTTTTATTATTTTTATTTTCATTTTATTTTTGTTGTCTTAGAATTTATTGTTTGCAGGTTTCAGTAAATTATAAATTTCTGCTTCATATTAATAATCCAAAAAAAAATTCAGTTACATATCAATTTTGAACTGTTTTTATATAAGACTAAATTAGATATGTGGTAAATTATTATCCGTTCCAAAAATAAAATAGTGTACTATGTTAATAATTTAATTCGTTTGGGATCCTCTACAATATATGTTTAAAGACATTGTATTTTTGTGTGACAAATATTTTGTGTTAAATTTAAATTTATAACGAATGATACTTCACATTGTGAATTAGTTATATAGATAGAGATACTTCACAGTGTGGATTGTGTACAGTTCTCAGATCTCTTTTTGTTTTTTTTTCTTTTGTTGATTACACGGTAATTTTATCCAAAATAAAAAACATGTAACAATTCATATATAGAAACGAATGGTGATATATTGTGTTTTTGGTGTTTTTCATCTTTTGTTTAGTAGTCGTTTTGAACTGTTTGTCGTGTCAATTTTTTTTTTTATGTTTTTATTTGCGTTTTGAGTCTTGTACAAGTTTTAAGTATCTATGCTGAAAAATATCTCCAAAAGTTCCAATATGCATAAATGAGTCTCACCTTTCTAAGCAATTCTCACAAATAATTGTTTGAGCTATATGAAACCAACCATTCCTTAAATGCATCCATATATACAAATATATGTATATCTCAACTACGTGAAGGATATTACAATCCGTCACATCACATTCATTCTAAAAATGCACTTCATTCGATCTATTACAATCCTATAACTAGGTTTACTTGATCATTCCAATTACACTAAAACCTTGTATCATAACAAAAGTCAAATGTTTTTTCTATAAATACTCTCTCATTACTTATACCGGAAACGAAATCGAGATAAATGAGATAGGGATCGAAAGATTAGAATAGATTGCAAGATCAAAGAACTAGACTTGATTTTGTATTTCATATACGTAATTTGATTGAACTATGACTCTTTGTAAAGCATTCGAACTACAAAACAATAGTTTGGAAGGTTTTTTTTTTTTTGTGCACTAGTTTGGAAGGTTTTAAAATTTTGAATTAATATTTTAAATTTAAGAAAAACTTCTAATGTTTGTTACCATCTATTACATAAATATTTAATTGTAATATTGTAAACATTAATCTATCGAATGAATCTAACTAGTTACAACACATGTGACCATGATGAACATTTTCATGAACAACTCCAAAAAATACAACTAACTAGAATTTAACCCGCGGTACACCGCGGGGCTATATTTGTTTTTAAGAATTTTTTATTTTTGAAGATTAACTGAAGATATAACATATTAATTTGTATTTTTAAATGTAATAAATATCTATGTATTATTTAGTGTATGATTAATATTTTTAGGTTTAATTTAAAGTATAGGTACGAAAACATACAATTCATTAAGTAACGATGTATGGCGGATTTAAAAAATTTGAAATGTTTGGTTGTTTTGGGATTTTAATATGAAAATATTTAAAGTATGTAGGAAATGTTATGTATGTGAATAAAGGATTATTTGGCTTTGTTTTGTTTTGTTCTAGTATATATAAAGAGAAGAAGACCATTTCCGCGGGACGATTTGATTTCTAAAATTTGTGACTTTTTAAATTTTATGAATATGTATTATATATAAAAGTTTGCAACTTGTTTCATTTTTGAGACATTTATATTTTATAATTTATAATTTTCATTAAGTAACGGTATACCGTGAGATAATTTTTTGTTTTATATAATTTTTAACTAAATCACGCTGATTCGATATGTCTAATATGGGTGGTGTTAAAAAAAAAAATTTAATTTGTACTGAAGCAACGGGTTAATGATATTATTGATTCAAACCCGTCCCGC